AATTCAGACTCACCTGACTGATATTTCCAAACATGATGTCTCTTTCCAAAGAATGGCCTCACCTAAGCTACATGTCCAAAGTTTGAAAAGTGGAACTACAATATAAATATATTAAAAATAAAATAAAATAAAATATATTCCTTTTGTAAATATGGACTGTAAATTTTTCTATAATGAGCAGACATCCCGCATCCATCACCTCTAGTGAAGAACTCTTCCCAGAGGTAACCAGAAGTTCAGTTTATGTTATAGTGACCCTATAGGACAGAATGGGGTTTCCCACAGAGTTTTCAAGGCAGTAAATCCTTATGCAAACAAACTGTTTCATATCCCTCAGATAAAGTTGTAGGCATGAACTACTGACCTTTTGGTTCACAAACGAATACTTTAAACACTGTGCTGCCTGGGCTATAAATTGGAATTGACTCCATGGCTGTGGATTTGGGTTTCTGTTTTATTTTGGTTTGGGTAGGGAAAAAAATGTGCTGTGTTGTTGTGAGTGTGTGTTGCGATGGGGTGAGAGGTGGGGACCCCAGTATGTAAATGTGTCCTCTAGCGTTTACATTTGTTTCTTTGCAATTCACTTTAATCTTCACATACTGTAGTTTTCAGATTGTGCTCTGTGGATTTATGGAGGCCGACACACTGTGTGCCTCCAGCCCCTCCACACCACTTCCTTTTGAGCAGTCCTGCTTTGAATGTTGTGTGTGTTGTGCTTTGAAGTAAAAGTGTTGTTTCGTGAGACAAAGTTTGCTTGCAAGAAATGCTTGCAAACTTGGATTGTCTTCTGCCTCCATTGCTGAGAGAGAGAGAGAGAGAATACAAGAATACAATGCCTCATTCTCATGCACTTAAAGCTGAGAGGAAGGTGGAAATCACCAGGCGTGGCCGCAGACATAAACATTTAGCTTCAACCGGATGCCTGTTGGACTTCAGTCAGTCAACTGTGTTTTTGATTGGTAAGGGGCGGGGAAAAGAAAGAACACTTATTTGTGTCCCAAAGTGTAACCCACAGTGTGTCTCACGCTAGGTACGTCCTGGATGATCAGTACACAAGTTCTTCTGGTGCTAAATTCCCTGTGAAGTGGTGTCCACCCGAAGTGTTTAATTACAGCCGTTTCAGCAGCAAGTCAGACGTCTGGTCATTTGGTACGTCCCATTATTCGTGTTTCTTCAAGCCGACTCTGAACCTTTTCTTGATGGGTTGTTCATAATATAACCATGCCAGAGTAAACTGCAGCCTCGAACCATTGCTCAGACCATTGCCCGTAGGACGAGGGCAGTGACAGGGGCTGCACTTTGGGGAGGGGGGGCGAGGAAAAGACTATGCTGAAAAAGTAGATATGCCACTGGCTAATCTTTCTCCCTTTCCAGGTGTCTTAATGTGGGAAGTATTCACTGAAGGCAGAATGCCCTTTGAAAAAAACACCAACTATGAAGTGGTAACCATGGTTACACGTGGCCACCGACTCTACCCACCCAAGCTGGCATCCAAATATGTATATGAGGTGATGCTGAGGTGTTGGCACGAGGTACTCACGGTTTTTGTGCATTCATTTTGAATCTTTAAAAGCATTGAGGAGTCTGCACTTGTGATATGTGTACAGTACGGTTTCTACAGCCTGCCAGAGCAGGTCTATTTCACAGTGGTTTCAGATCTGAGGTAGAAAGACAATACTATCAACTCTTTCCTGAATCACATGAAGAAGAAGGTGAAGAAGTGGAAAATGCTAGTAACTAGTTCAGTACCTAAAGGTTGTTGCCCAACTCCCAAGAGAAATTTTGCCACTGTTGCCTGATTTTTTTTTTTTTTTGAGTCTCAAGAAATAAGCCTGGAGGAATGATTTGCTCACTGGATCTCCCGTAGGATTGGTGTATATCACTCTCTCACCTGGAAAGATTTCTTCTTCAAGATCCCAGCATCCCTAGGTTTCTTTTCTTACAGTGTTTGGAAATTTTCCTTCCACCCAGGTTGAGATGTGACCTTATAGAAGTTATTGGAAACCAAAACTATTTTGAAAAATGACATTAACTCAGTTGTATTGTTATATTGCATTTAATTTAATTCTCAAAATAACGCCTCCAAAGTTGGAAGTACTTTCATGACTACCACTCTGTAGATAGTAAAGCACTCTGGTGACTTAGTGGTAGGGAATTGTACTGCCAACCCAAAGGCAGGCGGTTCAAATCCACCAGCTGCCCCTCAAGAGAATGGCGGGCCATCACCTCTCGTGTGACTTACAATCTCTAAACAGTCAATGGAGGGTCCGCTATGAGTCTGTTCTGACTTGGTAGCGTGTATCAGTAGAAATCTCTGTAGATGAGGTGACCAAGGTTCCTGAAGCTGATGCTTACACAACAAAAGCCACCGAGTTACAGAGCACCAGAGGCCTGTCTGAGTCCAGAGCCCAACCTCACGATGTCTTGTCATTATGACCCTGTGAACACTGAGGTGGGCAGGAAGTGGTGTTGGGGGAGAGGCAGTGTTAGCTGAGGTAGGGAATAAGCATAGCGTGTCTGCATGAGAATGGAGCTTGTTCTGATGCAGAGCACCAGGGCCATCTGAGGACTTTAGTGGGGAATGGGATTGGGCAGGTGAGGAGTGAGAGACTTGATTTGGAAGGCCCAAAGGAACTCTGTCTGTTCTAAAACTTAATGTTGTTCAAGCTCACACAGGATGTTATAATAACATAACTTATTGCTTTGGGAATGGAACATATTAGTGTCTCCCAGTGGGAGACTGTCTCTTCCTTCATTTGTCCTATACATTACTACTTCTAGATTGACCATCCCCAAACCCTGCCTTCACACTCCTGCTCAGGAACGTAATAAAGCTCCTCCACATACCCGGACCAAACCGGGGGCCACGAGTCAATTCTTTCTCACCACAACCTCATGCTTTCCAGAGCAGAACTGCCCACCATAGAGGTTTTTGTTGTTGTGAATGCACACCACAAAACACACATCAGTTCAACAACTTTCGTGTATGTAACTCAGGAGCATCAATTCTTTTGTCCTAGATAAGCCACTGTTGTCACCCACCATTTCTGAGTTGTTCCTCCCCATTAATATAAACTCACTGCCCCCTAGTGTTCCTCTCTGATCTTGTGAATTGCTGTTGTCCATTTGATCCTATATAGATGGTTTTTAAAATGCCCAATGCAGACACTGTTCACCAGCTACGCTAAACTACTGTGGCTTTCAGAGCGCTCAGCCTCCAGAGGCCTTTCAAGGCTGTGATCTCTCAGAAGCGAATCTTGAGACCTTTCTTCCCAAGCATGCATCCAAACATGGACTCAAACTGTCAAACTTTTGGCCCGTAGTAGCCCAGTGTTTGACCATTTGTATGGCCCAGCCTGAGATAATGAGTGCTTCTGGTTACATGCTCTATGAGTTTGAGCAATGAGGAAACTTTGGGGTAGATTCTGGAACTCACAGCTTCCCTTTGACTTTTCATTGCAGAAACCAGAGGGAAGACCTTCCTTTGAAGATTTGTTGCGGACGATAAATGAACTTGTTGAGTGTGAAGAAACTTTTGGAAGATGAAGTGGCACTGTGACCAGTGGCTCCCAGATTCAAAAGCACGCAGAAGTGGCTTTTTTGTGATTTTCCATTCATTCAGCACCTTAATGTGCGGATCTTCAAGATGCAAACACTTAAACCTTGACTTGAACCAACTCTAGCTCTAAAACGGTGATCTTATCTTTGGATTGTGGAAATGCTGCCAGAGAGATGGGGAGCTCTCAACTTTTAGTCATTCCACAGGTACCTGAGTGCCTGTTCTGTGCCAGGAACTGTGCCTAGGCTCCAGGGTTTGCCCATCGTCATACGGCATGTGGGGCCATGTTAGCTGGTGCTCATGGAAGGAGGCCAGGTTGTCTGGGAGAAGAAGGGTATTAGAGCCGTATTCCAGCAACCTCATTCCTCCCTTTGAGATCTGCAGAAATCTGGGCCTGGGGAAACTGTCTAGAACACAGGTTCTGGGTGAATTAAGAGCTCATCTCAGATAAGTACCCTTGTTTTGTTTTGAAGACATCTCTGTTTTCAAGACTACTGTTAATATCATGTTGAAAAATATGTGTATGTTGTATATAGTGTAAATATATATATATAATATATAAAGTTATATATTTATAAGAAACATGATTTGTCTTTTGAATGTATTTATGATATGTACCAGATGATCTTCTCCAAACTTGGTGCTGTGGCTTATAGCTGTCACCCCTTTTCCTCTGGAGATCAGATATGCTCTGCTGAGGAGAAAGAAGTCTGTCTTTCTATTGTTAATACCCACACCTTGCTCTGGTAGATGTGTCTGGGGATGCCTGTCCAGCTCAAGGGATTCCCTGCAAAGTACAAATGATCAATGCTGTTTGGATTCCACCTGAAAAAATGGGAGTTTCATGTCCAGAGGCACCTTGAGAAAAGGCCCGGTGATCTCCGTCCCAAATATCAGGCCCTGAAAACCTTATGGAGCACAGTTTACTCTGATACACAGTCTGTCCAGCCTGCCAAAGGGGTTTCAGAGATGGTAAATCATATTATGATTAGTAGTGATGGTATTAGTAATATTAGCAGTATTCCAATTCCATGTTCTATTTTTTTTTTTCACCTTGAGCTGTGTTAAGTGCTTACTAACTGACTAAGTGTTAATCAAGGTACTGAAAGAAAAGGTCTAGACCTTCTCACTACACATTGGCTCTTCCTAGATATTACCCCGGGGAGCTCTGGTAGCCTAATCTGCAGGGAGTTGAGCTGCTAACCCAAAGGGCATACCGCCCTGGTGGTTCAAACCCACAAGCAATTCCAAAGGTGAAACATATCTCCAGTGTGATCTATAACCTCCAAAACCCCACTGGAATATCAGCTTCAGGAAGTTCTGACCTTATTTTCACTAATACATTTGAGGAGTGGTTTTCTTTAGATGTATCTTGGGAACCTAGTGGTTAAGGTGTTGCACTGCAAATCCAAAGGCTAGCAGTTTGAATCCATCAGTTGCTCTGAGGGAGAAAATTAAGCAGTCTCCTTATGTGCAATTGACAGTCTCAGAAAACCCAATGGAAAGTCAGCTATGAGCTGATTGCAGGTTGAGAGCAATGAGTGTGAAATATTGTCTGGTAGCATTTGTAGATATTTTATCTATCTATTATCTATCAATCAATCATCTATTTCTCTTATGTTTTCGAGTAAAACTGCACCATAGAGTTTTTTGTCACTGTAATCTTTCCAGAATCAGATCACCAGACCATTCTAGGTCATACTGTTTAGTGGGTTTAAATCACCAACCTTTAGGTTAGCTGGTAATCCCAAACTAGTGTGCCATGCAGGGACATATATGAAAACATAAACTAAAAAAACAACAACACAGACAACTCCAGCATCCCTCAAGCTCACTGCTGTGGAGTCTGGTTGAACTCATAGTGGACCTGCCAGTGGATTTTCAGAGGTTGTAAGTTTGATGGTTGCCATCTTTCCCCCTCGGAGCCAATGGTGGATTGAAAGCACCCGAGAGGTGCTGCCGCTAGATTAGCAACAGGAGTTACAAACGGCACCACCAGAGTTCCCAAGATGAAAAGTTCAGCCAGGAAAAAGGGTGAAGCACAAAATGGAAACGTCTACTCAGATTCCTAAACTGATCTTTGATTATAAGGCAGTAAGTAGGAAAGGCAATGTCACTATTCCTTGGGTTTATTAAAGTTATTTTTAGGTTATATTTTCCAGTTGTTGTTGTTGTTGTAAGGGACCGTCGAGTCAAGTATGACTCAGCGACCCTATGAACAACAGATCTAAAGCCTGTTCTATCCTGAGCCATCTTCACACTTTCTGGCGCATTAGAGCCCATTAAGGCAGGCACCGTGTCAATCCAGCCGGTCGAGGGCCTTCCTTTCCTTCCCTGACTCTCTACCTTTCCAAGCATTGTGTTCTTCTCCAAGGAAAAACCCCACCTAACATGCCCGAAGTATGTGAGGCAAAGCCTCATCATTCTTTCCTCCAAAGAACACTCCAGCTGCACCCTCTCCAAGACATATTTATTTGTTCTTTTGCCTGTCCATGGAATGTTTGGTGCTCTTCTCCAATACCACAGCCCAAAGGCATAAATTCTTCTTCTGTCATTTTTCATTGTCCAGATCTTGTATGAATAGCAAGTGATTGGAAAGATCGTATTTCCCAATAGGACACAATAAAATCTCTAAGTGAGTTCTTACTGTAGAGGCTCTGTAATTTTTATTTATTTTTTGTCATGCCAGAATCACCTTTTAGATGTATTATTAATAAGATTGGCTTTTTCCTCAGGACATTATACATCCCAAAGGTCTCACAGATGACTTTGGGGGTGTAGCGGGTTAAGTGTTGGTCTGCTAGCCAAACAAATGGTGGTTCCCTTGGAGAAGAATGAGGCTTCTGCAAAGATTTACAACTTTTGAAATCCCATGGAGTAGTTCTACTCTGCCCTGCAGGCTCACTGTGTGAGTTGAGGGAAGTGACTGGGATTTTCTCTTTTGGTTTGCTTTATTTCTATTAAAGTCCCAGAAGTGTCAGCACATGCAAGTTGTTGTTATGTGCTGTTGAGTCAGAATTGATGCAGAGCTGACCCTCCAGAAAATTTTCGGGGTCTATCAATCACACGAGAAAAGTTTACCCATTTTTATCCCATTGAATAGTTGGTGGGTTCAAACCATGTATCTTCATGTTGGCAGTGCACCTCCTTAACCATTAGGCCACCAAGTACAACAAGCAAGGCTAAACTTAGTACAACAAAACCTACAATCTCGTTCTACCGCTAACTGAGAGTCTTCAGGCAGGTCTCTTAACCTGTCATCCATTTCCTCCTCTGTGGAGAGAAGGCCGTTTGAGGTGCTGAATCTTGAGCTCCGTTCCACCCTGAAATGTGGCAGTTTCTATCAAATGTTTCCTGGAGTCACAGCAGTGGGTTGGGAAGAGGAACCACAGCCACTTCCCGCGGGGCTGTGGATGCAGATTCTCACAGTGGCTTATATGGGCCACCAGGTTGTCATTCATCCGCTGCTCTTGAGGTTTTGAGGACAGGAAAATAGGTGGGGTTTACTTTGCCAGTGAGAAACGTCCTGGGCGAGCTATGATTTCAGTTCAAAGATGCGGGTGTGTGTGTTTGTGACTGGAGAACGGAGGGCAGCCCTGTGCTCTCGCTGCCGACGCGGCCATGATCCTTTCCACCTGTAAGTAAGATGGCTTTGTCATTTGTCCTCAGCTCGCCTGTTTGTGTATTCTCGAAGATCAGACCAGACCGGAGGAAGTTTGTTTTTTTGGGTGGTTTTTTTTTTTCCTTCTAGGGCATGAGGCTGGTGAAAGTTTGAAGATCATTTCCCCAGATGTTGCGATAGGGTTTTTGTTTGCTCGTTATTCAGAAAACCATTTGTGGTAACACAGCTGCTTTTTATTAAGTGCTCACCATTGAGAACGCAAAACAAGGCCGCAATTCTAAATAAGTGTGGCAACGTAGTTTGAAAAGTATGTGGGTTTTGAATGATCTCTAGCGTAAAGAAGTCGGGACTGAAGGACAGGCCAAACTCTTGTTCTGTTTTTATCTCAGATACGGTGTGTCACATGGATTGAATTGTGTCCACATCGGGTTCCAAATGTGTATTGTAAACCCTTGCCTCTATGCCTACAGTTATAATCCCATCTGAGAATGAGTTATCTAGTTAAGATCAAGAGTTAGAATTAGTGCAGGGTGTATCTTGAGTTGCTTTTCTTGCAGTATGAGAGATAAAACAATGAGAGGATTACCATGTGGGGATTGTAATCAATGCCATTAAACATAATGTGTGTTAATGGGGGGCAGCTTGACGTCAGGGGTCTCCAGAAGAAGGGAACAAGCTGAAGAGACGAGGCCTTTTGCTTAGAGTTAACTGGGAGAGAGACTTCACCTAGAGACAGCACCATGAATTCAGACTGCTGGATCCCAAAATGTGAGACAATAAATATGTTTGTCAAAGCCACCCATTTGTGGTCCTTCTGCACTAGCAGCACTGGGTAACTAAGACAGTCACTTTGGCAGGCTCTATAAAACTAAGACCTCCTATTACTCACCAGCTATTACAAGAAACCATAATTAAATTCACAGGTGCTGTAGGAGCCCATTTTTTTTAAGTACTTTAGAAGAATATTCAATCTCACCATATAATTTTTATAAGTGTTTATGAACTTGGTGCCTTAATGAGCAAATAATATATATTATATTTAAAAAATAGGGAAAGAAAACACTATCTTCTGATTTTCATTCTGGATAACTATGGACCTACCTTTGTACTCAAACTAACATCATTGCTTCTCAGTAATTAGGAGAGGTCCTCTGACTACAGATCTTTTTTAAGTTTATGTCATAACGCGACGGCAGCTAACAATAACTACATGGACCCATGCTTCAGCAAAGCTCAATGGATCAAACATAAACTATCAAAGGCTAGTTAAAAAGCTGAGTTTTGCTTTTATAATTTTTCAGTGACATCAGGGGAAATTGACTAGAGCTTTTAAATGTCATCTGGTTAAGCCAGATCACCTCATAAAAACCCAATACTTGTTGGCAGAATTATTTCA